AATCTAGCACCATCGTATGACAAATTTAGCGTAATTCCTAAATTGAGATCTGGTTCGTGGCGTCTGCATTACCAATGGGCGAAAAGAGAATAAGAAGAAACAAGCACAATTTGTAAGCACAATTTGTACATCAGTGAGAGAAGAGTTTGTTTGCCATCTGTAACGAGGTTCTCGTTTATAGTATCAAAACTTTTTGAAGAACAGATTTGATGGCAAAGAATGTGGTGGGCTGAAAGCAATTAAGAACTTTCCATAAATAAAAGGCTTAAAAAGGCTTCACCCAGATTTTGTCCCGGGCAAAATATTTCATTCACTCATGCATTGAAATTTGAGAAATAAACGAGGGATTCTACCAGACGAGACAATGGCTCGGATTCTCGCAGCAAACTCTAGTTCTGTCGATGTAGAGAGGCTGATTCCCATCTACAACAAGATAAAAGCAGGTGGGGAAAGCAGCATATCTCCAAAAAAAACTTAACAAATATATAAATATTGTAATGAATATGCTTGATCTCGCAATTTTCTAGTTCAACATACAAAAAACAAAATACAAAGAAAAACACCAAAGTCTGGAAAGCAAGGCTGATTTAAGAGAATTTTTGAAGGTGAAAGGAGATAAAAAATAACTTTGACAAAGATCCGAACAAACCATGTAAAGGAGTTTCCTTTCGATAACTTTTTGCTCACATATAAAGACGCATATATTGATTTAAGAACTTGCCCAATTAGGACAGGCTATTTGCACTATGATCGCAGTTTCTACATTTGCCACGCCCGTGGTGTCAATCCCAGCAAAGTAAAAAATGTGTTTTTATAAAATATTTTTATATTTCTTATTTTATTTTCTTATTTTCTTCTAAAATTTCTTATTTTAGGCCCTGCACTTCAGGATCAATTGATCTGCTCTAATCTACTTGTTACAAAGATACACTTCACACGGATAACCTCCACATACTTTATTTTAAAAAGAAAACAGATAGTGCCTGCAGCGAATTTCGAGTGTTCTTTACATTTGTTGTTTTTCAAAGCGTTTAGAAACTTGTTTTAACTTTATTAACTGTTACTTTCAAAACGGCTCTTAGATATGGGAACTGATTTGCGGAGAAGTACTTTGATGACTTGAAGCAGATTACATCTGCTCGATAATAATCAAATCTTACTGAGGATTATTTTTCAAGCTCGAAATTGGCAGTACTATAAGGTAGGCTTTTTGTTTAACAAGAATCCCGCTGTACTTATAAAAAAAATCATAACTTTAAGATAAATGGCTTTTACTAGTGAATACATAGAATTTTTTGAACCAACTTGATCTTGTTGTTGCCACAGCCTGGCAACTAGCGAGATCTTTTGCAGCCAGTTCGTATTTTTGTCCGCAATCTTGGTTTAACAAAGAACGTCTGTAGTGACTCTACTTAGGCCTGTTTACGTTAATTTTTCCTTCTCATTCATTCCATCACATTCCCAATTTCTCACATCGCAGCACAGGCATCCTCTACACGCCACTCTCTGAATCACTTTTCCGCCCGAGCAATTTAAGGTTTTCGGCATGTGACCAAAGGAAACTAGAAACAATCATGTAATAAAGCTGGACTTGAAAAAGAGGTCAATGCAAAATGATTGCCAAGGGCATGAAGGACCTAGTCATAATCCGGAAGATTGATTTTTGAGTTTGAATTAAGAATGGATCACAATCTCTGCACTGATTACCGAAATAGGATTGACTGAGGTATCTCTTTCATGTCCTGAAACAACGCGGTTTAAGTTACAGCTATAAATCGCAATGTCGAGGTCTTTTCATTGAGTCAAAAGGGTCAGAGGCAGCTTCAATGAACTCTTTCATTTCACTGTTTCAGTTGTGGTTTTCTTTTTAAGTCCTTCATTGGCATAGACGTTAGAGCCAAAGGGGCCCAGGGTCTCCTGCCCCCAATCTTTTTAAGAAATTAAAGAATGCCCCTATTTTGTAATAAAGAAAATAACCATTTGTCCAAAAATGTATTCATCTTTAGGATTATAGATTATATGCCTCTTTCTCAAACAGATGCCAATTTTCGCTGCAATAGTATTATTCAACACCGAATAAAGGAGGAGAGATACATAAAGCCTATCTTACTTCATGTACATGATTACAACATTAAAGATATGTATGCTAACACCCTTTTTGGACTCCAGTGTCGGTCGCTGCACATCAAGCTTTTGAAAATACGAAAAAAACTACACTGGTTATCAACTAAAAACTACTTTATCTGATGATATCACTCTGATAAAGCCCTGTATGCATGTTTGTTTATCAAATCTAATTTATTTTAACATTCTGTTTCTCTACACTGGATTCTCGCCGTCATGTTGCTCTGTTCCTGACTATTATTCGTATTTTAATCATTGAGAGATTCACAGATTCCAGCGGACAGCAAATCGTGAGCTTCTTCCCTCTTCAGAAAAATTGCTTTGAAAAAAAATTGCTGAGGGGTTCCCATACTTAAAACTAGATGTTTCAATGTTAGGCCAAGAAAGTGTATATGAGGTCACGGGTGTGCTATCTAGTCTTATGCCTAGTACAATGAATGGATGGCATCATGTGCTCTGCATCAGGCTGCAGATTCGCCAAAAGATCAGGACAATGGACATTGAGCCCCATACTCCCATTATGGTTTGTATGATGATTAGACATCTAATCAGCCCATAAGATACACTTTAGTTTAGTAAGCTTTTCTTACCATTACAGTTGTCAACGATCAGTTGGTTGTGGAAAAATTCACCACTTCGCATTTAAAAAGTCCATAGTTCCTATTGCTTTATCAGGGGATGTATGTCCGATAACAATGGAATACAGTAAACCCCCGATAACGCAAAGCTCCAAGTGATGGTGGTTCGAGTTATCAAGGCTTTCAACAACTCGAACTTTAGGGAAGAGCAATGTCTCTATTAGTTCAAGTTATCGCAAGTTTCTCATGTAGAAAAATAACAGCAACAACAACAACAACAACAACAAGAACAGCAAGAACAACAACAAAAGTTACACCATAATGTAATACATGTACTTAGCTGTGGGTCAGTCAATAGATTGCACTCTTGAAGAATCCATATCAAAGGACACCACATGTGTAAATACATTTGGACTCCAAAGCACAATTAATAACTTGGTGTTCGTTGTGAATCGGAAAACCCTGTTGCTAAGTATGCGGCCTAAATGAGGATAAATAGTCATTAAAAGAGAGAAGAGATACTGGGCGTTTTGCCAAAACTATCCACCCTGAAGCAAAATGCAACGCCTAAGAATCTTGTAAGTGGTGTAATCTTGGTGATTGGTTGTTCTTTACAGCCTACATGTTAAGGGAGCAAAAAATGAGAAAAGCTAAAGGGATTCAAAAAATTTCTTATTTTGTCATGCTTGCTAAAAACAAGTTCGAGTAATCGGATTGTTGAGTTATCAGGGATATTTTTATATGGCTTTGTGGTGCAAGGTTCAAGGGGAATGCAATACCATTTCGTCTTGTTCGAGTTTTCGGTGGTTTGTGTTATCGCGAGTACTGTATCTGTTAGCTAGTAACCACTCTAAATATTGCACTTAAATACATAACATATAAATTGCAGAAGATTAACGAATTAGTACAAACATGTGTGTACGATTTATAACATTTACATTTAGCATCATAACATTACATTTAGCAAGGTCAGAAATTTAGCTATCCCAGAACAAAGAAATCATATCTGACGAGATTGTGGTGGGTGTGACATGCCCAGTTTTTATCAAATAAGTCGTTCAAGAATAAGAATAATGTTGTATTCTTTTACTTTTGATGACCAATGTGAGATGAAACAGCACGACCATGATAGCGACTCTTATTGTTCATTGTTCTATCCTTCATCCCTTCATCTTGACCTCAAAGACAGACACAAGGTAACCCAAATTTGGATTTTCAAGCGAAAAGTGTCCAGAATAAGGGCTGTGTCACATTTCTTGCATAGGCTACTTTTAGTACAAAGTACATAGAGTATAGTTCAAAAACTGTTCGGTTAACATGGGCGACACCAAAAGGGCGCTTGAGACGTATGCTCCCATCACTGTTTGCAAATAAATTATTTTATAAATGCTACATATAATAAACAAAATAAAATAAATAGAGGAACACAGGGGCCTTGAATTAAGGAAATTAATTCCATTATATCAAAAAGAAAAATAACAAAGCCTTAAAAAATAGAAAAAAACTTTAAATGATTGCAAGAAGATCATTTCATGAAATATATTTTAAGCAAATCTAAAGGGCGTAGACGTAAAACGCTTGCTTGCTTCGCTCGCCAGGGTCCGCGACTTTCAGCATTCACCCAGGGCTTTCGCAGCCCCTCGATGACCCTGCCTATGAATAACAACAGCCATTAAAGGTAATGTGTCCATATAAAAGGACTGCGTATACCCAACTTGTCAAGCCACCCATCAAAATAACAGTTTGCGATTGGTTAGTATTCTTGCGATGCAAAACTGCTCACATGAAAAGCTAACCTCGCAGCAGGATAGATAAACAGAACGACCGTAATGGCTGGGATGATGACATGAAAAATCACATGTTTCTAAAAACCCCCGCAGAGTCGCTTGCTATAGCTGGACACATTACCTTTAAATAATTAACATCTTATATCCAGATGTATATTAGTGCACTTTTCAACAATTAGGTTTTAGCCAAATAATGCTGACAACTCTAATTATTCAATCAACAAAGGCTGCCTGCATCTGGCGACACCTCCAATGACACCAATCAGGCAGCCACTGATGGGTATACAAATCACACTGTCTTCATTACGGTTGTAAGTACCCAATGTAGGTACCCTATGTAGGATAGGATAATTGTCCCTAAGCACCCCATCACCCTCTAATAAACATTCTAAGATAAACTGAGCCAGTGATGCCCCAAATTGTCAAACTATATTTTCTATTTGCTTTATCTAATACATATCTATTCAATACATATCATATTTGCAGACCACAACTGATTGGATGTATGTGGTTAGGGTTTTGCAACATAACAATGTCGTCTTGTTTTGTGGAGGATTTAGAGGGAAACCCTGCCCAACAAACACGGAGGAGCAATGATACTGGACACGATCTTGTAAAATAAATATGCATGACTGGCTGGCGTGAGTGAGAACCAACAGGCGACCAGAAGCCAAGTGTCTCTCCACTGAAAGAAGCCAAGGCGTCTTTGTGTTGGAGACTGTCACCTGGGTGGCTTAATTGGTTGCATTTGTGTGGATGCATTCGAACGTCGCTACAGCAAGGGCTATTGATACCATTTTGGGGTATGGCCCACTACGCTTCAGCTTGGGTTATAGCTCTGGTCTTGCTATTCAATTTTGTTTGCATCACGGAGGGACTTGGAAAAATCGCTAGCCAATCCATTGAAAATGAAGCAAGTAAGTTAGAAAGAATTTGAAAATATGTCAACATGACAGATTTGTCACTTTCGCTTGCATTGTTCAATTATGCCCTGTTTTATTTGAATGCCATGAACCTTAGTGTAACCGAACAATAACATCGTTTGCTTACAGCACATTACGTTGTAATCGTGACGAACAGTGAAACACAATATTTTATCTGTTCATATAATTTTGACCTTACATGGTACATAAATTAAGTGAGCACACAATTATGTAACTGGCCTCAGAGACTACTCTGTATTCAACAACATTGTCAGGTTCTCGCGGTTGGTGCTTATAAAGAGGTTAACTTTACTGAAATTGCCCCCTCTGGAACTTTCAAAGTTACTAGTTCTTTGTGAATCTTTAATTGACCGAGGGTGCCAAGCGGTGTGTGTCTAAGGATTAGTATTATCTCCGCAAATACCAGTATTTTAAATAACTGTGTTGTTACTTTTGCAAAATTTTCCATGTCCTTAAGACCACAATGGACACGCTCTTCCGATATTTCAACTGCCACATCAATGTCAATATTTGTCATGAAAATTGATCAGGGTTCTGCGTAGTCCTTGGAACATAAACATAATTTTTTCGCTAATTTATCGTCTAAATATTCTTGAAGCTACTGAACCGATTGACTCTTGGTGCGTGGCGATTAGAGCAAATTTACCTCTATGGAAACACCACATTCCCTAACATCCCAAGATAATTTGATACCCCCAGCTAACAGGTCAAGTTTTGGTTAATGTAATTTTCTCAAAATTTCTTAGTATTCTGAATTCATTTCGATTTCCCACAAAATTGCCAAAGTTTTGAAATAACTGAAAAGCGTTACAATGTGAACCGCAGACCGACTTTTATGAATATGGTATTCGAGAATATTCCCCGTCTGCGGGTTTGCGGATAAACCAGTGGGAGAGAGGGCATTCGGCTATTACTAAAACAGGGAATCGGCGAATCGGCGAATCGGGGAACCGGGAAATCGGGGAGTCGGGGAGCCGGGGAGTCGGGGGGTCGGGGAATATCGAAACCAGCAAGCTAATTTACCAGTTTTATACCTTGTACGAAAGGTCTTTGCGTAAATATCTCTAAGACCAAAACACACATCAGCGCAATACATTTGGTTAGATTTCAAGAAGTTCCAAAACTCTAGCTAAATAATGAAAATTGGCATGCATGCACGGCTACTGCCATTGCAACAGCGAGGCACTTGCAAAACCATATATCACTTTTTAACGAGACAGCTCAAACAATCTACTATCTAATGTTTACTGAGACGGCTTTGAGGGACTACATGGCATTTTCACGACTCTGAATACCGCATTCGTTTTTGATATTTGAAGAGAATGGCGGCAATCTGTCGTTATATCGAAATGATTCTAAAAACTTATAATTCAAGAGACTGATCAACTTCATTACAAAATTCAAGAGACTTTCAAAATCAAAGTGAAGGGCCTTAGGCAGGGCTGTCAAAGAGAGGGGCTCAAGGGGGCTCAGGGAGAGGGGCTCAGCCCCCTTCTACTTTTCGTGAGGAGACTGCGCTCCTTCCTCTTTTCTGGATGATTCTAAAATATTGAGGCTACTTTCAGCTAGGATAAAATATTTGATTGAACCGATGTTACTTTTTGACGTTTGCATACATATGTGACCTCTATATCCATGCGAGGGGCGTTTCACTCTTGCAAACAGCGTACGAGATTTTGCCTAAAGCAAAAGAATTTCTGGGGGTTTTCAGATAAAACAATAGGATTTTCACAAAAGGTGTGCGAGATTTTATAGAGTGATTTGCCCCTCGTAGCCCTCTAGCTGATAACTGAAAACTCAATAAATACTGGCAGCCTCCTCATGCAAAACAACCTTACTCTAGTTGAATTCAAATTCAAGGTGATGTTTGTCGCTTAATCTTTAACGGAAATTTGGTAGTTTAAATTTTGACGACATAACTTTCCGTTCTCTTCAAATATGAAAAACAAATGCGGTATTCAGGGCCATGTAGTCCCTGAAAGCCGTCTCAGTAGATATCAGACAGTAGATTGTTCGAGCTGTCTCGTTAAAAAGTGATATATGTTTTTGAAAGTGTCTCGCTGTTGCAATGGCAGTCGCCGTGGATGCATGCCAATTTTCATTATTTGGCTGGAGTTTTTACATTTCTTGAAATCGAACTAACTGTATTGCGCTGATGTCTGTTTTGGTCTTAGAGATGGAGTATTTACGCATAGACCTTTCGTACAAGGTATAGAACTGGTAAATTGGCTTGCTGGTTTCGATATTTCCCGATTCCCCGAGTCCCCGATTCCCCAATTCTTCGATTCCCCGATTCCGCGGTTCCTCATTCCCTGTTTTAGTAATAGCCAGGGCATTCTGCTGGACAACACAAAGAAAAATCAAATTGACAACAGTTGTGTGATAGGCCGCTACCTCTCAAATGGATTTAAAAACGTCAGACCGGATGCATCTATTGCAGTGATGACAGCATTCAAGTTTCTAGTAAAATTGTGGACTTTAGCTACCAAACAGTTGCCGGACGCATGTGACACCGACCGCCATTGCATGGTATAAAAACTTTGGTAGAAGACGTGCTGCGTGATTTCACGCATATTCGCTGTTCCAAACGTTTCTGTTTTTGCTATATTCGAAAACGAAAGGGAGTGCATTTAGAATACACTCATTTTTTTATAAGAAACAAAGGTCGATGTTGAGTATTCCAGTTTCTTAATGTTCTGTAAATTTCAATACTCATTGTTTCTTAAGAGTTTCTTAATTTTGATGTATGAATGATGTTATGAAATGTTTGTGACCTTTCTTATCACGTCAAGAGATTCGCTTCTGTTCTGATGCTGTATTTAGATGTGGGGAGTATATTTTTATCCCTTGTGTCTTAAATTCTAGGCCAACAGGGCAATCATGTTCCTTGTTCACAGTTCTATCACGATTTCATAGTTTCACGGAGCGTTGCAAAAAGTTTCCAAGCACCACGGAGCGTTGAGAAAAGTAGGTCCAAAAAAGTGGGAGGGGGGCTAAAACCGAGTTAATAGTGGCTTGAATGATGATTCACTGGTAAATTCTTTGCATTTTCGGCAAAAAGTGGGGGCGATAGCCCCCAGCCCCCTTGTCGAATCCCGAACTCGGATATCTCGAAAACCTCTCCATCTCAAAAAGTTTCCCAATTCCCTTTGTTAAAGAAATATTGGGCTTGATAAAGAAATAGAACTCATTATCTCGAACTCGCTTTTCGGACTATTCGCTATCTCAAACGAAATTTTAAACCCTTGAAAGAAAAAAACCGGTTATCTCGAACAAAAAAGGGACAAAAATTTTCAGCTATTAATTATCATAACAGTGATAATTCATTTTTTAAAATTGACATGAACTTAGATTGTCCGAAAATGATATAGAACTTGCGAACTTAGAGTTGCACTCCTTTGCCATCTGCAATGTTTACACGATTGCCATTCACTACGTCCACGCAGGAACTAAATTTATCTGTCCTGAGAAAGAAGATTGTCTTTGCAAATCTGCCTGTCTTTCCTTTTCGTAGATGTCCTACAATAGTTTTGTTTTTCCGTACACACACTGCGTATTTGTCGGCTATGTTGTTTGGCTCCATCACGACTTTCAATGCGCGACAGACAAGTACATTGAAAAAGTTACATTTTCATTTCGATTTGGTTATATTTTTAATTTAATTTGGCAGCATTCAACAAACTTTCTTTGCATCTTGCAAAAATTTGCATCTTTGTTAGCTAAATCATATACTAAGAGACCCTTTACATCAAAATATATCATATTTCGCTGGTAGAAGGATACAGGTGCTTTCATCCTTTCCTTTTAATATAACCCTGTCAAGGCATATACGTTTAGAGGGATGAATACACTGAAGTAAACCTAAACGGTTTGCATTTTGAAAAACCATGCAGGACCGCCGAGAGGGAGGCAGTGAGGGCAAGTTGCCCCAGGGCTTTGAGATGTAAGGAGCCTCATAAAAGAAGAAATTTCATTTTAAAATGGAATTAATTGAAAGTAATATAATTATGCTTTAAAATAGTAAGACATTTTAAACGGAAAAATGAATTTAAGCCAATGTAAAGGGCATGGTCGCAAAAATTTTCTGCTCGCTTTGCCCTCAGGCTCCTCGTCTTTCGGCTTTGCCCCAGAGTCGCCCTGAAACATCTTGACGGCCCTATAACCATGACACGGTTTTCATTTTATTTTTTTTGAAGGGATCTTAGCGCCCTGAGAAACCATAAATTAATTAAGAATCCCTTGCATATCGTTGGCGCCCATGAACCTTCTGCCTTCAAAACTCATACCATCTTTGTTATGGATGGCAATCAAAATAGGGCTGGGGGGCTAGAGCTTCCCCACTTTTTGCAAAATATGCACAATGTTAAGTGAGAAATTACCAGTAAAGCCTCTTTTTAAGCGGTTTTGCCCTCCCCCCTTTCCTCAACGCTCCGCGGTGCCTCTCTCTATATTGCCCAAGGCTAGTGTTGGAATATTTTGATTTATCGAGGACTTGTAATAAATCGCTATATCTTGGCTATGTTTAGACGACACCAGATTGTTTAATCTTTTAGGCCTTTTCGGTGCTCTTTTCATGTTATAACAAGAGGCTTAATTCTCCGATTCTGGTGGCCTTTTTTTCGTGAAATATGTGCCAGCTATCGTTATTACTAATGATTTGAATATAAGTTTTTGGTTTCTTAGAACTTCAATGCTTTTCTAAAAATTTTAAATAAATTCTAAATAAAACTTTGAACGGGTTAACTACAGTTCTGCATGAAGGCCAGGGGAATTGCCTTTATCCTTGGTTTTAATCTTGAGTTGCTTGAATAAAGGGTGTTTTTTTGCTTTTAATCCATTTATTTTGTTTTGTCATTCTTTTAGTCATAAAGAAAAATGGTGACGTTTGAAAACTGGCGCTTAGGATATTCAATTAATTTAGTTATCATAAACATGGGTAATCAATCTCTAGCTACTCATGAACAAATGACATT